CCCCCCGACACCGTCTGGCAGTGAGGCCTTGCAGATCCTCCACCACACACTAGGTTCCCAAATTCTGGGATTCTAGAACTTCACCCTTCACCCGGGATGGGGAGACGAACCTGGGCACCGAGGGCCTCAGGGTGACTGCTCCAGCCCCGGTGCCTGGGGCAGGGAGCTTTCTTCAGGTGGACACCAAAATGGGCCCCCCTGCCAGGTCCTGAGGGGCCAAAGGGCCTAATTAAAGAATAGGATAAAATCCCAAAACGGGGATGGCTAAAAGGGCAATTTCCTCTGCAGAGTGGGAGATCAAATCAACACTGGAGCAATTAACAGGCGAGGGGCGAGGGGGAAAGGGGCCTGCAGCGTGGGCGCCAGCAGGGCTGCAGGAGGCTGCGCGATTAATCTCAAGGTCAGATGGAGCCGTGGATGACCTTGTGGGACCTGAGCCGGCCGGGTGTGCTGGCACCTCCTTCCTGTGCCGAGTGCCACCCCACCGCCCGGGATTTGCTGTGCCCTGGGGAGCCCACACTGAGCCCGTCCTGGGCCAGCCCTGGGCTTTGGCTGGGAGGCAGCAGGTGGGCCAGGCTTCGCTGCCTGGGCGCTCGGGGAGGTGGGGGCCGGGAGCTCTCAAGGCCGGTCCTTGGGGCAGCGGAGAAATTTCTTACCCTGCTTGGTCTCCCCTTCACGTTGGCGATCCACTCCGTGGAGTGGAGAGCTACCCACTTGCTTCCTCGTGCAGCCCATGCCCTCGGCTTGTTCCCTCCACCCGCCTGCTGGCCTCCTGCGACCTGGGCTACTTGGGCCTAGCCACCCCCTTCAGCTTGGGGAGTAGGGCCCAGCGTACCTGAACAGACTGAGGGTGTGAGTGGGGCTCTGTCCACAAGGGGGCGCCTCCTGCCAGGGCCAGACCACTGCCTGCCAGGCCGCTGGGGGTCTGGACTGTGCCTTCTGAGCTGTCGCCTAGGTGGCTGGCGCCCTGCCTGTGGGTCCTGCAGTCCTGTGGGTCTGGTTAAGGCCGGCCAGTTACTACCTCCAGCGTTCAACACGCCTCTGGAGAGCGGCTGTGTGAGACTGGCCTGGCCCACCGCCCTCCCCGGGTCAGCTTCAGGCCGGATTGAACAGGAGAGGCGTGCGTCTTCATCCTTGCTCTTCATCCGCAGCAGACGTGGGGCGCAAGGGACAGCTACTCGGCAGGGTGGGAAGCCGGCAGGTGCCGTGAGGAACCCTCAGGCCTCCAGGGCAGACAGAAGTATAAAGTGGGAGTGGAGTCTGGGAGAGCACCCTGGGGTCCCACGTGGGTGTTGGGGAGCAGAGGCGGGGAGGTGGAGCCCACAGCCCCTCAGTTCCAGCTCTGTGTCTATCTATCCCCATCAGCCGCTCTCCCTTCCTTCGTACTGGCCGTGTCCTCCTTCGGAATTTGAGAGTCCAGCTGCATCTGCCAGGACGCCTGCTCCACCGTCCCCAAGGCCAGCCGGCAGGGACAGCAGGACCTTGGTAGTTTTTATCAGAAACCAGGGGTTCTTTTAAGTCAGAGGTTCGTCCTCTACAGTTTGGGCCATTATCTTGGATGAGACCTGACACTCACTGAGGATCTTCTCCCGGAAGCAGACACAGCTCCAAAGAAGTAACCCCAAGCTCAGCACTCCTGCTCCCAAGGCCTTCCCCGCCCGCCCGTCTAGGTCTCCAAGCCCACGCTGCTCCCCTGCCCCTCGGAGCTGCTCAGCTCCCCTGCTGGGACAGCTGAGGAGAGCCCCTCCATGCACTCCCAGCCTTGCTTCCCGAGACCCCATCTCTGGGGTCTGGCCCCCACCCCCGTCTCAGGCTCCTCCAACCTCATCTTTTCTCTTTGCTCTCTTTTCCGAGGGGGCAGTGGAATTTATACAATATTTAAGCAGCCAGCGCCGAGTCTGGGAAGATATTATTAATGTAAAAGGGACGGGCTGCAAATGCTTTTGGACCTGGTTACAATTAGAGGGTGATTTTTCTAAAGGTCAATGAATTCAGATAATATCCACAGGGGGGAGAGAAATTTAATACCTTTTTAGTGAATTAATTAATTATAATATTATATCGGCTTGGGGTTCTTTTCCAGAGTGATTAAGGGAGCGATCCGTCTTCTGCGGGGCCGGGGAGCGGCGCCTGCTGCCAGCAAGCCCATCTAGGGGCTCAGGATGGGCCCTTTCTTCTCCTCTCACCCTGGCTGGTGGCCAGGGAGCCGAAGGGGCTGCAAGGGGGAGGAGAGGCCTGCAGGACCTGGCCGGGCTGGGAGCAGGGGCAGTGATTGGCAGCGCCCTTCCCCCTCAGCCGGTGCCCCCTGAAGCCCGGCCCTCCTGCTCTGCCTATCACCAAGCCTTGAGCCATGGTGGCCTGAAGAGCTGAGAAGCAGGTGGTGGCCTCCTCTTTTACACCCAGGGAAACTGAGGCCCAGGGACTCCAGGGCCCTGCCCAAGCACCCCTGTGACGACAGACTGGGCGGCAGAGCTGGCTGCAGACAGGGAGAGATGAGAAGGACCCCCCACATTTCCCAAGCCAGGCCTTCTGGAAACCACCAGCCAGAGGCCTGCAGGGCTGTCGGGAAGGGGCTCCTTCAGGGTGAGAGGCGTGCCCGGGTGCGGCTTACACGATGAGAATGCCTCAGGAGTGTTGTTGTGTCGAGCTGTCGCAAGGCTTGGTGAGAGAATAGCCAAGACTTCTGTCTTTGGAGGGCCCCGAAAGCGGCCAGGGAGAGGTGTTTTAGCCCATGGTCTCAGTCGATCATTCATTCAACAAACACCTGTGACACCCTGTGCTCGTGCCACAGAGGACTTTAAAGAAGCCCTCATGAGCCCCACGGGCCACCTTGAGGCCCAGCTGAACAATGGAGGGTGGAGTCCACCAGAGGGCAGGAGGCCTGGCTGGGTAGTCGGGTCCTCCCCTCGGAGGGCAGCTCTGAGCTGGCTCCCAGAGGGTGCTCAGGCTCCTCGGATGGGTGAAGGCCAGCCCAGCTGTCTGGGAGCTAGTCCCTGGGGCAGGTGGGCACAGGGAGACAGGGCGGGAGACAGGACGTGACCCTGCAATTGTGATTCAGGGTGGGCTGAGACGGGGGCAGAAGTGACATTAAGCTGGGTCACCTGGGTGACCAGGAGAGAGGGAGGGACAGGGGTGCTCCAGGGCAGGAGGAGGAGTGGATGCATCTGCGGATGAGAGGGCCTGGCATGGCCGGGTGACTGGGCACGCTGATGGAGACTTCCATGAGGTGGCAGGTTCAGAGTCCAGACAATGGAGCAGCAGAGCCCACAGATCTGCGTCCACACGTGGGCGCTGCCCTGGCTCACCTGCGGTAGAGCCTCCCTGCGCCTCGGTGTCCCATCTGTCACGGGGACGGAGCGAAGTCAGGCCCTGCGTGGCGCTCAGTGAGACTCCAGACGGCCGGGAGCGGGCGGGCTCTGCCGCCATTGTGCCCTCAGTGGCTTTTCCCTCCCTTCCTGGTGTGGGGGAGATCGTCTTCCTGGAGTCCTGGCTGAGCTGGTCTTTCCTGCCCCCTGCCTCTGTCCGGCTCCCCCTCAGTGCCCCCCAGGCTTGCTCCCCTCCCCCTCTCCTCTCCGCGTGCTGCGGCCGGGGAGGGCCTTCCCATTGTACTATCTTTGGGCCCTAAATTAAAATTGATGACATCTTGAAATGAGCAGTGAGGGTAATTTTGCTTCTGAGCCGGGATGCTAATGAGGCCCCTTAATGGTGCGAGCGCGGAGCTGATGGGTCGTGTGTCACGGCAGCGGCGAGGGGTAATGGCCACGGTAAGTGCCGGTAATTACACCCTGTCTCGCTGTATTTTGGCAGGCCTGGTGGGGGAGCAGGGGCTCGATCACGGCCGCGGGGGCGCCCCCACCCACCGCGGGCCTGACAGCCGGCCAGCCCCACCCAGAGCCAGGGGCCCAGGGCGCAGTTCCCTACCTGTCACAGAGTGGGACACAGGGCCACACGTGCCCTCCCCGGCCTGGGCACAGCCCCAGTGTGCACGCTCACGGGCACACCACATCTCCCCACACACCTCTGCACCCTGCGTGGCACGCGCGCACACGTGCACACTCTCAAATGGCGTGCACACGGAGCACCTGCTGTGCTTCGCCTCTGAGCGCCATCAGTCCCTGCTCTTCCCATACAGCCACTGATCTTTGACAAAGGGTACAAGACAATGGTGGCTTGTCCATGGCAGACCAGGGGT